TCTGTGTCTCTGTCTCTCTGTCTGTCTCTCTCCTTTGTCTATCTGTCTGTCTGTCTGTCTGTCTGTGTCTGTCTGTCTGTCTGTCTGTCTGTCTGTCTGTCTCTCTCTCTCTCTCTCTCTCTCTAGCTCTGCGTGTGTGCATGTGTGTGTGTATTTGAGACAGGGTCTCACTATTTAGCCCAGGCTCCCCTTGAACTCACAATCTTCTTGTTTCAGCCTCCTGAGTGCAGGGATTCCAGGTGTGGGCCACCATTCCCAGATAAATTTTCACTTCTTATTGTAGGAAATCAGTTGGTTTTTTTTTTTTTTTTTTTGCGGAACCGGGGATTGAACTCAGGCCCTTGCGCTTTCCAAGGAAGCACTTATTCCACTGAGCCATCTTCCTGGCCCCAGGAAATCAATTGGTAACATTTAAAAGAAAGACATATATACCTTTGGATGTATGGCACTAAGTCCTGGAAGAAATAATTTAGGAGTCAAAAATTACAGAAAATGGTGTTCAGAATAAGATTTTGGCATATTCTGATTTTTAAAAAAAAGCCATGAGCATGTGTATTTGACTTTTTACATTATTTACAGAAAGAAGAAAAAACAGGACAACACTGTCAAAGATGAAGGTGGACAAGGAATGTGACCACCATTTTGCCTAAATAAATAATATAGTACATGCCTACTCAGAGCAAGGATTGAGGCAAATACCAGGCATGCAAGTGTGGTGGAATAATTTAGTAAACATGAAATTTTGTTTGTTCTGCCTGTTTTTCCTCTTCTTTTAGAGCAGGCAAAGGTTTTGGCAGGGCTGAGAGTACAAACAAACATTCAGATATCAAAGGTCTTACTGCCTTTTGTAAAAGTCATACCAGAGCTGGGGATGAGATTATGCCCTGAAGGTGCTGGAAAGAGAGACAATTCTTTTCTTTTCCTTTCCATTTTCTTTCTTTCTTTCTTTCTTTCTTTCTTTCTTTCTTTCTTTCTTTCTTTCTTTCTTTCTTTCTTTCTTTCTTTCTTTCTTTCCTGTCTTTTGGAGACAGGGTCTTGCTATGCAGCTCAGGCTGGCCTTAAGCTCACTTTGTAGCCCTGGCTGCTCTCGCACTTGCAATGATCCTCCTGACTCATCCTCATAAGTGAGATTACAGATGTACACCACCATGCCTGGCTGAGAATTCTTTAAGATTTCAAAGTCAGAAATGGCACTAGGCTCTAATGCCTGGCTGTGATGAAGCAAGTCACAGGACTGAGTGGATGACTTTGAGAGCTGTGGTGGAGAGGTCAGGTCCAAGCCCAGAAGTACTCAGATCTGAATTCCCAAGTCTCCAATTTTCCACAGGTCCAAAGAGACAAACCCACAGAGACCAGGGGAGTCAGAACACTCCCTGGTGATGTCCAGTGATGGTGTGGGATTGGAGGGCAGTAGGCAGCACCCCCTGGTTCTTGGTATTTCCACAACCTTTACATATCCTTTGGAAGATGGGGTTCTCTGAGAGTTCCTGAGGTTGAAATTTTCACCAGTACTCCAGTGCAGGGGTTTGGAGTAGTAATTAAGTTTATTTAAAGAATATTTTAGAATGCTATATTTATGTCAAGCATGGTGGTACACACTTGTAATCCCAGCACTTGGGAGGCAGAGGCAGGAGGATCACCACAAGTTTAAGGCCAGCATGGGCTACATTGTGAGTTGGATGCCAGCCTTGAACTACATAGTGAGACTCTGTCTTGAACCCCACCCCACCCCAAATACTATATTTCCTGCACATCTAGTTTGTAGGCTAAGATCACATGTGATGCACGAGGATAGGTAGGGAGGTGCTCTCTTTCCACAGGCCCTGAGAGGAGTCAGGAGCAGATATGTGAATGATTTGACTTGAGTAGTGAATGCTGAGGCACACGCAGGCCTCTGGATGGGAAACCCTCCTTTAGCCGCTCAGGTCCCTGCCTTCCTTTTGTTTCCCTGGGTCTGTCCCCACTCTTTCCTACGTTGCCTGGTCCCATCCCATGGCTTTGCCTCTCTCTGCTTAGGGAAGAAGGAAGAAGAGGAGTATTTCTGCTGAGGGAGAGGAGGTGGAGGAGAGCACAGCTGGAGGCTGATTTATGCTTCAATTCTGGGCTTCCAAAGACTTGCCCCTGGAAACTTGATCTTTGGCTTCTGGAGGTTAAAAGAGCTCAAGTGCTTTGGGTCCCAGCCAGGGGAGAAAGGAGAAAGAAAGGGAAGAGGAGGAAGCTTTCCCAAAAGGGACTCATGGATCCCAGATCGGAATAGCGAGGTATCACAAGATCCCTGTTAATCCATGGGAGAGGTGAGGGGCTGCACTGTGCTGAAAAGGGTAGACAGGAGTCCTGTCCTGGTTTCTGGAGGGGATGAGAGCTCAGGGGCCTCCCAGGCTTGGAGATGTGCCCTAGGTAGGTCTCAGTAGAACTTGTGCTTGTTTGTGTTAACCAATGAATCTAGAACTTGCTGTCACTCCTGGGATCCAGGAAAAGGGTCTCTGTGGGGTTCCAGAGACCCTAAGATCTGAAATGCCATGGTGAGAGAGAGAGAGTGTGTGTGTGTGTGTGTGTGTGTGCGCAAGTGTGTCCTTTCCAGGCCCATGGCAAAGATTCCTTAGAGATCAAGGCCCACCCTACCCACCACCCTCCCTGCAACTATCCAGAGTTCTAGACACTTAGGAGGGAAGGAAACTGGATCTCTCTATGCAGGGAACATAGTGTTTGCCACCAGTTCTTAGCTGGGCTCTCAGAGCATGTGACCTGCTCTCCTCTGCAGTGACACTTTTTTCTCTGTGGACACAAACATACAGGACCAGGTATTTGGGTAGGAGGCTAGAATAGCTTTTTATTCAGTTAGATATAAATCACATTAATAAGGAAGAGATGGGTGCAGTGGGGAACAGCATCATGTCTTGGATCCTGGGTGACCAACTGGAGGGGACAGTCCTGCTGTCTCCTTTCACACAGCCTGGGAGACTATCTTTCCTCTGCCTCTCTGGGACTAGCTCTGCGGGCAGCTCAGCATGCAAGGCAGGGAAGGGAATGCAGATGGGATGGTGGCAGCAGGAGAGGGGGCGGGGGACAAGGCCAACATGGGGTGGCTGCTCTGGGGCTCCTGAATCTTTCCTTTCTTCTAACCTTCTTGCCCCTCAGGTTGGGGTGCCAGGCTCCGGCAAGGCTGGCTCCAGGCTGGTTACTGAACTATGGCCGTCGTGGGCTCTGTGTTTTCTCAGCCCTGCGAAAGCAGAATAGGTGCGTGAGGGGCTCACTGAGCTTCCCCTCTACCCCTCCCCGTTCCTTCAGTGCCCTTACTTCTCGAAGCCTTTGGAGCCCTTCCCCTTCTTTCCAGACTTGTCCTTTCTGCGGCCCTGGATGGGCGGATTGTCCAGACGCTTCATCAGCTGCTGCACCCAGGCTTCCTTAGGGTCTGCACACAGCTCTGGCTGAGAGCGCTTCTTGGGCAAGAACCTGGGGGTTGGAAGTTCATAAGCCTTCTCAGTCATGCCCGTCATCCCATTCCTGCTCAGCCACCAACCTGTACCCACCCCCCATGCCCACTCACAGGACAGCTGGGATGGGGCAGCCTAAGCTTGGTTCTTGCTTCCTGTAGCTGCGGATAACCTTGTAGGGAATCTTCCTTTGGCTGTACTTGAGGCAGCAGTCCTGGGCTCCACCATCACTGCCTGCAGGGCAAGGTTTGCAGGGAGCCAGGGATTGCTTATAAGCTCTTCCCCAGGTCTCTCCAATCCCCTTCCCCAGCTAAGGCTCCTCCCTCCTTCCTACCTTGTATCTGGGTGATGCAGAGGGCCAGGACCAGGATTAGGAGCCTCAGAGCCAGCGCCTGAGCCATGGGTGTGGTTGAGGATGACGATGAGGCTAGAGCTGTGGCTGAAATGGACAGCCACAAGTTGGGGGTCTGTGTGTGGGCTGGGACTGGCCCGCTGCCTATTTATGGAGTTGGACACTTTCACTTCCCTCCTCCCCCCTCCTCTTCCTTCCTGAGCTCTGGGCCCTGTCCTGGCTCTCAGCCTCACTAGGACTGAAAACACAAACCCAGTCCATCCCCAGGCTGGCTGACTGTGTCTCCTCATATCAGCGGACTCGTGAGTCCTCTCTTTCTGTGTTCAGCCACTGCGATGGCTCTTTGACTCAGGAACACTATGATTGCTTCCTCACTCTGCTTCAGGTTCTGTGCAATCCCTCTCCTTCCAGAACATCTGATTTTTGTTGCTGTTGTTTTTGAGACAGGATCTTGCTATGTAGTCTAGGCTGGCCTTGAACTCACTGTGATCCTCCTGCCTCAGCCACCAAGTGCTGGGATTACTGTTGTGTATCAACACACCAGGCAAGAAATCTGATTATGAATTGTAAGAGTTCTTTATACATCCACAATAAAAGACCCTTCTCAGTTATATGATTTATAAATATTTCCTCTCATTTTCTGGTTGTCTTTTCAGCCTGTTGGTAGTATCCTCTGATGCATAAAATTTTAAAATTTTGATGAAATCCAATTTACCCACCCCCCATTACTTGTACTTTTAGTGTCATATTTAAGAAATCATTGCCAAATTCAGGTCTGCAGAAGTTTCCTCTATGTTTTATTTTAAGGGCTTCATAGCTTTAGCTCTTATATTTAGGCCTTTAACGCATACTAAAGTAAGGGCCCCACTTCTTTTGTGTGAAGGTAGTTAGATTTCCTAGCACTATTTGCGGAAAGGACTGTTTCCTCCCCTCTTAAATGGATTTAGTGTCATGGTTGAAAATAACTACCTGCCTTGTGAGGGTTTATTCCTGAGTGCTCTGTTCTATTACCCTGGTCTATTTTTCTCTTCTTATGTCAGGGCTAGACTTTTGATTACTGTAGCTTTAGTAAGCTTTGTTCTTCTTTTTAAAGATTATTTTGGCTATTTGCGGTTCCTTGAATTTTCATTTGAATTTAGAATGGTTTTTACTGTTTCTGGAAAAAAAATTCTATGGGATTTAAATAGACATTGCACCAAATTTATGGATCACTTTGGATAGTACTGTCATCTCAATCATATTAAGTTTTCTAATCCATGAAGAAAGGACATCTTTCCATTTATTTAAGTCTTCTTTAATTTCTTCTGGTCATGTTTTATAGTTTGTTTTTTTTTAAATCCTGCCTCAGATTTATTTGTAGAAAGAGCACATGAAGACACCAGCCCCCCACAAATGGCACCCCAAGGGTTACACCAGTCCTTTTACTGTGGAGCCTTCACAGGGGCCTACGCATCTTTGGGGGCCTTGACACCTTTGGAAGTCTGGGCTGGAGCAGAAGCTGGAGCCTGGGCCTTGGCTGGAGCCTGGGCCTTTGGCCAGCAAAGCCTATGACCCTTGGCAATGCAGGCATGGATATACTTCCTAAGCTTGGGGTGGGCAATATAGGCAAGTCAAGTGAGCCTGCAGTTTACTCCCTTTGGAATGATCCTGGGCTTGACCTCCTTGGGCTTGACAAGGGCCTTGATAGCCTCAGCACGTGCACTCATGGCCTTGACATTGTTTGCTTGCATCTTTTTGAAGCCCTTCTTGTACTTCTTGGCAAAACATGTGTTCCTAAGGAACTTGGGATCTACCCCCTTCAGAAATTTGTATCTTTGTGACTGCGGTTTCTTTCTTTCCTTCCTTGCTTCCTTCCTTGCTTCCTTGCTTCCTTGCTTCCTTGCTTCCTTCCTTCCTTCCTTCCTTGCTTCCTTCCTTCCTTCCTTCCTTCCTTCCTTCCTTCCTTCCTTTCTTTCTTTTTTTTCTGTATTTTAGAGAAGGGTCTATAAGGTGTTCAGGGTCTCACTACTAGATCGAACTTGTAGTGATCCGCCTGTTTACAGCCTCCCAAGAGCTGGGATTACAGGCGTGTGCCACCATGCCCAGTCTCAGTGAGTGAGGTTTCTTGATGCCATTTCTGTGCCATTTTGGGGACTGGTTGTGCATGGTGTGGTTCTTGGACTTGGCCATGACTGTACTGTAAACTGCGGCTGCCAAGCACCTGGAACTGGAAGAACTGTAGTTTTAGTGTACAAATCTTACACCTATTTGGTTAAATTTATTCCTAAGTATTATTTTTGGTGTCATCAAAATGGAATTGTTTTCTTAATTTCCTTTAGGATTGTTCATTGCTTGTATATAAGTATCCAGCTGGTTTTTGTGTTTTGGTTTGTATATTAAAACTTTACTGAATTCATTTATTAGTGTTTTTTTTTTCTTTCTTTTTCATTTTTGGGACAGGATCTCAATATATAGTTTAGGCTTGAACTCACTATGTAGGTCTTGAACTTGCTTTGGTCCTCTTGCTTCAGCCTCCTGAGAGCTGGGATTACAGGACTATGCCATCATTTCTGGTTCTCATTTATTAATTCTAAGATGAACATGTGTGTGCGTGTGTCACTGTGCCTGCACCCATGTGGTGTGCTTAGTGTTTTCTACATGGAAAATAATAGCATATATGAATAGACAAATTTACAATTTGAATGTCTTTTGTTTCTTTTTCTTGCTTAATTCCTCCTTTGTCTTGATCCTGATCTTAAAAGGAACCATTTTTAGTCTTGTCCCATGCTCATGTTAGCTATGCTTTTTTAAAAAATGTATTTGGTTGTTACACAGCTCGGACTCATAGTGATCCTCCTGTTTTCAGCTTCCCCAGTGCTGGGATTACAGGCGTGCACCATCATACCCAGTTTTAATTGTTGTATATTCAAATTTTCTATTTCTTTTGTCAGTTTTGATACTTTGTGAATTTTGGAATTTATCCATTTCTTCTAGGCTATTTAATTTATTTTAATACAGTTGTTCATAGTATTCTCTTTTAAATGTATTTAGTATAGGATCTACAGGGTCTTACTACATAGATTGGACTCATAGTGATTCTCTTATTTTCAGCCTCCCAAGTGCTGACATTACAGGCATGTGCCACCACACCCAGTCTGAATCAACTGTCTCAGCGCACCCTGGGGACAAGTGGTCAGCATGGCATGCAGGGGATAGAACCCTGGTCCCTGTGTTTGCCTAAGCACACACTTTAATGTGCTGAGCTATCTGAAGATCTTTCTTCTTTAATGCAGGCACTTATAAAAATAAATTTCCTTCAGTGTTCTTTTCCGTATAATTACATAGGGAAATTACATTATTTTACATTAATGTTTACATTAATGTTTTGTTCTCATTTGTCTTAAGTTTTTTTCTTTTTTCTTTCTTTCTTTCTTCTTTTTTTGAGACAGGGTCTTGCTATGTAGTACACACTGGTCTTGAAGTCACTATGTAGCCTAGGTTGGCCTTGAACTTGCAGTGATCCTCCTGCTTCAGCCTCCTGAATGCTAGGATTACAGATATGTGCCACCATGCCTGGCTCAAATTATTTTCTAGCTTCCCTTGGGATACCCTCTATAACTCTTTGGTTGTTTAAAAACATGTTAATGTCCATATATTCATGAATTTTCTAGTTTCAACTGTACTGAATTTGGATTTTGTTCCATTGGGACTGGGAAAGATATTTTGTACAATTTTAGTCTTAAAATTTAGACTTATTTTGTTATCTTAACACTTGGCCTCTTTGGGAGAATGTTCCATGTGCACTTGAGAAGAATATGTGTTCTGCTGCTCTTGGCAAAATCGTCTGTGTTTGTTAGGTATAATTAGTTTGTAGTGGTTTTTTAAAAAATTACTTTTTAGGGCTGGCCAGATAGCTCAGCAGACTAAAGCACCTGCTTAGGCTAGACGCAGGGACCAGGGTTCCATCCCTGGCATGCCTTGCCAGCCCCGCCCTCAGGGCTGAGACAGCGATTGAGACTAGGCGTGGTGGCGCATGCTGTAATCCCAGTGCTTGGGAGGCTGAAAACAGGAGGATCACTACCAGTCTGATCTGTGTAGTGAGACCCTGTAGACCCTGTACTAAATACATACAATTTTTAAATCATTTATTTATTTGGTACAGGGTCTCATGACACAGCTCAGACTTGTAGTGATCCTTCTGTCCCAGCCTCCCCACTGCTGTACTTGCCAGGGAGATGCTTAGACCACTACACTATCTCCCCATCCCTGTAGTGTTTTTAAAGTTCTCCACTTCCTTATATATCTTTATCAGATTGTTTTATTCTTTATTTAATGTGAAATAGGGTGTTAAAGTCTCCAGCTGTTATTGAAGAACTCTTTTTAGTTCTGTCAATTTTTGCATTATATGTTTTGGGACAACTTTATATATTTATTACTGTTTTATCATCTTGCTGCATTATACTTTTCATAAACTATAATATCCTTTGTCTTATGTAATTTTTTTGGAAAATGTTTGTATGTGGGCAGTACCGGAGGTTGAACCAAGGCCTGTATATACTAGTTGAGTGCTCAGTTACTGAGCTGCATTTTTTTACTTTCTAAAAATTTATTTGTTCGAGTGCTGGCAAGATAGCTCAGTGAACTAAGCACCTACTTAAGCAAGCACAGGGATGGGGGTTTGATTCCCAGCCCTACATGCAGTGTGGGCCCACCCCGGGTGTGCTGAGTCACCGACCGAGTCCAGGCATGGTGGCTCGCACCTGTAACCCCAGCACTGGGGAGGCTGAAAACAGAGGATCACTACGAGTCCAAGGTATGTAGTGAGACCCTGTACCAAATACATTAAAATAAGTGAATAAATAATAAAAATTTATTTGTTTGAGATGAATAAAGTGAACTCAGCTCTCTTTCAACTACTATTTGCAAGGAATATTTTTCTTACCGTTTTACTTTTTTTTTTTTTTTTGGTGGAACTGGAGATTGAACTCAGGCCCTTGCGCTTGCCAGGGAAGCACTTATTCCACTGAGTCATCTCCCTGGCCCCTTCTTTTTACTTTTAAGTTCTTTGTGGCTTTTTATACAAAAGATCTTCTAGGTAGCACACAGATGAATCATATATTGCCAATGTCTTCTTTTAAGTAGTTTAATTTGTTTTAAAG